TTCCCTGACGTGCTTCAGCAGCCATGACAGGGCTTGGTTGTCCGTATGGAGGACGAACTGCTTATGCTCCAAATACACCCTAAATCTCTCGCATCCCCAAACAACCGCGAGACATTCCTTTTCATAGGTTGAATATTTACGTTCCGTTGCCGAAAGCAAACGGCTCGTAAACGCTATGGGGGCCAATCCGGACTCACACCGCTGATTGAGGATGGCAGACACAGCCAGATCGCTCGCATCGCAAACTAGGACGAATTCTTTCGAGAAGTCTGGCACCTGCAACACCAGTGGCGTAGAAATGGCATCTTTAAGTGCCTCGAAGGCACACCTCTGGGAGTCACCCCATACGAACTGAGCATCCTTACGCTTCAATGCATGAAGCGGCTTGGCCAACAAGGAAAAATCCTTCACAAAATTGCCATAAAAACCCAACCATACCCAGGAATCTCCGGACGGCCTTCAAATTTTTAGGAGGAGGAAACTCACGAAGGGCGTCTATCCTCTCGGGTAAGACCTCAACTCCAGCATCAGACAAGGAATGACCCAGGAATTTAATTTTTGATTTCACCAACTGCATTTTGTACCAGTTTAGGGTAAAGCCAGCTTTCTCCAAACGGCGAAAAACTTCCTTAAGGTGGACCAAGTGGTGTTCTACGGTGCTTGAGTACACAACAAATCATCCATGAAATTATAAACATAACGATGCTTGAGGTCTCCAAATAAGGAATCCACCACACGGGAGAGAATCTGACATCCCACACTAATGCCCATAGGGAGTTTAGTAAACTCAAACAGACCAAATGGAGTGGAAAAGGCCGTTACCTTACGACTCTTCGCCGAGAGTAGGGTCTAGTAATAGGCCGAGTGTAGATCTATGATAGAAAAAACCTTAGCCCCTTGAAAATTGGAGAACGCAAGTTCAATACTCTGCATTGGAAAGGCATCGAACCTAACCTTCTTATTCAGGAGGCGATAATCAACCACCATGCGGTAGCCCCCTGAAGACTTAGGGACTAGGAAGGCCGGGCTGGCGTACTGTGAGGTACTTTTATGCACAACCCCCTCCTGAAGCAAATCATTCACAATGTCCCTCAATGCCTTAAGCCGAGGAGGAGAACACTGGCATGGGAGGGAACGAACCGGCCGATTGTCCAGCAGATCCAACTCGCAGACCATACCCTTGACCATTCCCAACCGTCCTGAAAACAAGTTAGGGAAACTCTTCACAAGCTGGTCAAGCTTCCGCGACTCAAGCTGACTCACGGGAGACGAGTAGGCTGCTAACTTTGCCAAATCCTTCTCGGAACAAGGGAATTCCTGCAAGTCTTGCGAGCAGAAATCCAATCGTTCAAAATCATACTGACAGGCTAGATCAAATGCAAACTTGCAAGACATTGTAGAAAAATCTAATTGCATTTTGGCAAAAGCCAAAAAATCAGCCCCTAATATGCACAGCACAGGAGAGTCATCGAATATCAGGAAGGAATACTTCCATGAGAATGAGTTCAACTTAATCTGCAGCAAAAAGGCCTGACTTATCGCACAATTTTGGCCATTAGCAGCGAGACACAATTGGCTCATGGCCTCTGCCCAGCACGGCAAGCCTAAGCTTTGAATGCGCTGAAACACGGTTTGTCTGATGAAAGAGGAGGAACCTGAACCCAAGATTGCTGGTAAACAATACCCCTTAATCATCAGAAGAACCCACGGATTGTTTCCAGGAGTCCGTACTTGTGAGATCACTGACCGAGGCAAGGTTCTTTTCAGCGCTCGGATTCTAGCAGATGGTTTTACTGCCGAGCGCCTTGCTAGTTTCCCTGCTTACTTGAAGGCAAGGGAATAGAAGATGGACAGTCCCTTTTTAGATGACCTCTCCCCATACACTTCCAACAAACCACTCCCCGATTCCGCACTCGAGTCTGGTCTATCGCCATACTAACTTCACGCGAGCCACGCCCCGCTGACTGAGAGGCCCCGGCAAAAGCCTGGTTCTCACAACCCTGTCTCTGAGCATCAATGGCTCTCGCTTCAGCGACATGACTCACCAAGGCATGCAACTTGGAAATAATAGTGGGTTTCGACCCGGATACCAAATATGACCTGAACCGAGGATGCATATTTTGGACAATGCGCTATACTAAGTCCGACTCAGTCCCATGAAAACTCAAAATGCTCGCAGCCGCTACTACTAACATGATAAATTGGGTCAAATCCTCTGTTGGCAATTGAAAGCACCGCAACACATACTTAGACAAATTCTTCACGAATGCATGGAGGAAGGAAGGTAGAGATTTCGGAACTAACCACTCCCCGCTTTGAAGAGGTTCCCAAATGGAGACCGAGAATCTGGGTGACCCTACTGGAAGTCCTACCCACCAAGAGCGCCAGAAATTCCAGATTGCCCACCAAGTTCAGGTCATAGACCTCCTGGGCCCGGACGAGGAAATGCAGCACGCTCTCAGGGTCTGTACCAGACAACACGGGGATATTCCTCACCAGATCACCAACCACCCTACCCCTCATCTTGGCCTGTACATAAGAGACTTGACCAGGAATGTCGGCATTCAGAGTAACATTACCAACAGATGCCGCGGCATCCATGGCCAGTTCAGACTTAGCTGTTGGCTGAGAAGGCAGATGTGGCTCCAGCGAGCTCCATTTCTCCTTCAATTTCCTCCGCAAGTTGTCAAAGGTCCCATCCACAGAGATGCCCAATTCGATCGCCAACCATTTGGCTTGTTACTTCGACAGGGAATGGATCCACGCCGACGGCATGATGATGTCATGAAACAGTCAAAAGTCTGGTATAAGTTGATAATATTACATACAACACAGCACCCCCAAAATAACACAAGAACACTCCCACCAAATAATCGCTGATGCCCAGTCACACTCAGGCACTAGAAATAAAAACTAACGCTGGGAGTACCTTAGTAAAACTACGCTCTGCTACCATCTGTCTGAACCCCCACACAACCAGCTGGGGAACGAGTTTTCTACCTATTACTAAAATGAAAAAAAAAAACAAAAGGTAAACAAGAAAACCAAATAACATTTAATATATGACGAGTAATTTGTGCCAAAAGAAAACACGACAATTATTCGGCATAATCAGCCACAATATATCCTATCACAACTCGCACTGGCTGTCTCCGCCACAAGCGACATATAAGGCATACTTAATAACAAACTTCACGCTAGTGTAATACCATCTCTGAAATCGCCTGCACACACAATACAGACAAAACGTATAAATACATTCTCAGCTTACACAATTCCTCCAAGAACAATAATCAATACGCTAGTATTATGTGCATTACCTCGAGATGGGCCCTCCTGCCTGGAGTTTAGCTACCAAACCGGAACTTTCATGGCGCTAACCCGAACAGAATATGGTTACGGAGCGAGACGTCCGTACAGGATGACTTTCCAGGCAGAAGAGACCGGGTGCCTCAGCCGAATCAAAAAGGATAGAGGAGTGATGACGTAGAATATGCCACGGAATAAGGATAGGTAGTAGGAAAAGTAAGGAAAAACGGTGTGGCCCGAGGCCGCCTCCGCTCGGAGAGAGCACTACAAACAATGAGCCGAAGGGTTCGGCTAAACTTTCCTGAAATAAATCACGAACTCAACTAAATACCAAAATGACAAAAAATTATTATCTTAATTACGAGAAACAACAGTTTTAATCAAATACGTAGGTCATATCATATTTAACAAAAATCTAATTACTTTAAAATTTAAATCAACTATATCACATTTTTTTCTCTTACAATACAAAGTGAAAAATTTCAATATAAACCAATAGTAAGTGTTTCTTACTCCCTTAGGCCAATGAAAGACACATGCATTCGACTACTAGGTAAGAATACTGTGAGTTGCATTGATAGCAAAGGCAGGTATGCAATCAGCGAGGCTCAAAGGGAAGACACAAGCAGACTAAGACAGGCAGGAAAGTGTCCTAGAAGGAAGAACACATCTGCTTAACAACTACATGTTCCTTAAATCCCCCCCCAAAAACCGTTCAAAACTAAGCGTGAAAGCAGAGAACAACTAATATAACTCCCACAAGAGGGACTGCAGCTCTAAAACTTACCTCATAAATCACAGTATGCTGTGGAGCTGATATTTCCATAGTCATTAAGACACACTTGTGCGATAGATGATGACCAGAGGTTGATCCATTTCCCCCTCATCTCTACAAAACACATTACTGAAGAATTTGCATGTTCACAGTCAGATCTGTCTCACTGCAAATCAGTTCATAAACGGGTCACGCAGAGCCCACCAAGTGGCAAACTCCAAGCACGTTTCTTAATTCTCCAAAATTAGCCTGAACAAAAAGAATAAACCATCTTACTTCAAAGAAATATATGATGCAGCTCCAGTAGAACATCACAATGACAAATACATAATTAGCTTAATTATAACAGACAACAGTTCACGTTAAACAAGTATGCCAAAGCATTTCACAACCGTCACAATTTCCATTATAACTTGAGTCAACTTCATCACAATTTCTTTTATATATTACATTATTAATTGGAAAAATTCATGTCAAGTCAAACCTGTGTGTTTTCTACTTCCTCATTCCAAGGGAAGCCCCATGAATGCTAGGTAAATACTGTAACGTGTTTCGTTACTGATCCCACTTCTGACACCAATGTAACGTGTTTCGTTACAGAAGACGCCGTTGAGATGGTTAATTTGTTTATTAACAATCTACAAGTAACAGCTACAATTACTTATCACACAGTTGCGGGGTTTCACTTTATAACCCTAATCGCATTAATCTGTTACCACTGTTGCGGGGTTTCACACTTTATAACCCTATGCGCAAATCAGTTCACTCTGCCTTCAGTAGTCTACACGTTTACAGTAGGGGAGCTATGTATCGCTGTATCACACACTCCCAATTACACAATTACACACACGTCC